CAATCAACCAATCTGCACATGGATCATGCTCCTATTTATTTATTTTTTGGGCCATTTCTATATTTCTACTTTTATTTTTAATTATGTCACTTTAAGTCCTCCATATTTTAACTCTTCCATTGGAAATCATCACATGTTGCTCTCTGCATGGTTGTTTCTGCTGAACTTCTCTTCATCTCACATCTATTCCACCTTTATTCTCTCATCTTAAACATGTAAACTGGTCTCTCTGACAAACCAAATCTAAACGTGAGGTTAAGAGAAAAGTTGGAGCATGGGCTGCCTACAGGAGTGTGTGCCGTTACCTCAGTGTACTGACCCATGCTGGTTGTGTACTGACCCATGCTGGTTGTGTACTGACCCATGCTGGTTGTGTACTGACCCATGCTGGTTGTGTACTGACCCATGCTGGTTGTATACTGATCCATGCTGGTTGTATACTGATCCATGCTGGTTGTGTGCCATCTCCCAGGAGATAGCCGAGGAGCTAGGAATGCTGTCCTCTGATAGCTCAGAGGAAGAGGTGCTGACCACCAGGGTGGTCCGACGCAGAATAATCATTCAGGTAAAAAGAAAACATGAAACAGCTCAGGTAAACCACTGAAGGGTGTTTTTGTTAAACTTGACGTTTGAGGTGAATCTGGATAAAAATCAGTTCAGCWTTTACATGGCACCAATTATTTTCTTGCAATACAAAAAAAAAAATCACTTTCTGGAAGTAAGATGTAAAGTTTTCTGTTTGATTTTTCTTCACTGTTACTTTTATTCATTTCTTATGGTACACTGCATTCTTGAGTACCCTCTTAAAGACCCCACATAAACTGCAGACCTCCTGACTGATTTGTAATGTAACAGTTTCATCATCCAGTGTGACTGAAGTCCTAAAACGTTTTGTAGACCTGCTGGTTCTGACTGAGGAATGTTWAATTCAAACGCAGCTGTCTAAAGCTCTGTTCAGTTCAGTTCATCTGACATGAGCTGACAGCTTGTGTTTTGTGTCTTGCAGGCAGATCATTTGCCAGACATCCCACCGCAGACCATCACAGAGGAGAAGTACACAGATGAACACGGTAACATGGTGGTGAAGAAAGTAAGGAACATTTAAAAACACAATTAAAGCATTGAAATCTCAGAATCACTGGACTTTTTTCAGTAGAACTTGTCTTGATTCATTGTGCACCAGATCACACGGAAGGTGGTGCGCAAGTATGTGTCTCCGGACGGTTCAGAGACACAGGAAGTGAGCGTGGAGGGCTCTCAGCAGGAGGCGCTGCAGATAGAGGAGGGAGACTCTGTGTCCAGGGTGGTGAAGAGGACAGTGCTGCACACACAGGGAGATCAGAGAGAGGTGGGGGTCCAACAGGTGCTGCTGATCTGACACACTTCTGTGATCCTGTCTACTTTGTTCTGTTTGATCCTGAAACTGGTCCTGAAACTGWTGAAGGTTTGGTTCAGATCTGTTTCATCATTTTGTTACTAATATGATAAAAAAAACTGTAACTAAAATATTACTTACAGACAGATCATGCTCCTCCGGCTGACAGCTTTGATGCCATAAATGTTTTAGTATCTCTCGTGGTCCTAATTCTCCCTTTTGCATTGGTTACAAATGTTTTCTGCAAGGATTTTAAAGGGATATTTCAACTATTTTGAAGTATTTTTAATGTAAAATCTGTGAACAAATAATGACTTACTAACAATGTAGACTCAGCTAGTCTGAACACAGCTGAGATCCCTGCCATTTACAGTATAATCTGTGACAATTTCCAAAACTTCTCAGTGGTTGATGTGAACACAGTTTTATAAAAGCTTTGTCAGGTCCTCTGGCTGCATCATGCTGCAGTGAAGCATGGAGGTGGCTGCATCATGCTGCAGT